GCTGTTGAAACTGATCAGCGGCTGATTCCAGGAAGCCCAGGGCAGAGCAACTCTGCCTCGGGCTTCCTGTAGTCATCCGCTGGTCAGTTTCAGCAGCGGCTGAATCTGGACGCCAGTTCCGACTTACATACAAATTCAACTTAAGAACAAACCTACAGTCCCTATCTTGTACGTAACCCGGGGACTGCCTGTATATCAATACTTCAGAAAGCTGAAATGTAGAACATTCAGAATTAATGCCTAACCTAAGTAAGTGCTGCAAATTTAAATAACTATTTCCACACCTTACAATGTTCAGGGGGTATTGAAAATACTGGTAGAATAGTATAACTTCATGAATGACAGCCTTTTTTAATATAAGGTCAGGATTTTAGTAATGTTTAAATGAACAGATAACTCTTTTGAATTGTGGTTTTATCTTGACTAAGCTTTTTGTCAGTAAGTAGTTCAAAATCAATGTAAAATAAATTGCAAACACCAACAACAAAGCAAGTGAATGGATTTTGTCAGAAAACACATGATGAATTAATTTCCAATGAGATCCCACTATTGAAGTCTACAGTATGAAAAGTGAAGGGAAGACAATTAATAATGGCTCTATCAATTTTCCCCAAATGCTGTCCAAAAGAACAGCATGCATATAAACCTTAAAAAAAAAACCACAGAATCCAGAGAAAAAAAGATATGTGATTCGGTGTACGTATTATTAAAGTGATATTGTTAACTTAAAAATCACATGGTGTAAACATATATTTTAACCTATATAACTATTAATAGTGATTATTTATTATTTTCATTGTAGTAGTTACTAAGGAGCTCCTGTCATGGACAAGGACTCCATTGTGAAAGGAGCCAAATAAACAGACAAAAGCCAGTCACTCTTTCAAAGATCTTACAATTTAACATGTCTTGAGTCCTAAGTATGTGCACAGATCCACCAGAGCAGAATCTGTTGTCTATGGAAAACTATTGGCTTTCTCCAGAATTGCTATATTTTTCACATTGCTCCCTCCATGACCTTTGTAAATACATTGTATAACCTGACTTTAATACAACTGACTTTAATATAAGAATTACTGAGGTCCATGCAAGTTGAGCCAGTTGGATTCTTTCCTTAACTTAATGACAGCACAAGAATTTTAGAAATCCAATTTTTTTATAACTGTGTAATGTGCCTTGCATACAACATTACAAAAAGGCAGCACAGAACACTTGTAGTTCAACTTGCTCCACAGGCATTCCTTGACTAAAAAAAAATATTTTTTGGACTCTGGAATGATTTTAAAATGAATTCCATATTTTACAGTTTAATTCTGGTTTGTAACAAATAGATATATAGGTGGGATGATGAAAAGTGGCCACAATTTACTCCACAAAAGCATGTTTTCTAAATAAATACTTTAACCAGCTAATTTTGATATCAATTTTGCCTGAGTAAGAGCTGCATGATTGATCACAGAGTTAGTCTATGTGGCGTCAATATTCTAGAATTTTTATCTACTATATATTTGAAAGAGTTTGTCTGTATGTATTTGTCTGAGAGTTTGTCTATTTGTTTGTCTGTGTGTTCAAGAACTCCTCCTAAATGGTAAGAGCTAGGACCACCAAATTTGGTATTCAGCTTCCTCTTATCATAACTTAAAGTATGATCAAAACTAAAAGCAACATTTGGTTATGCCAGGAAAATGGGATGTGTCTAGAATTGGATTGTTTTTCATGAAAACATACAGAAAACAGACAGAATCACTAGGCAGACAAAAGGGGCTATGTGGGGGCACTTCTCTGCCCTCCCTCCAGTCTGGGACTGTACCAACTCCGAGATTCCCAACTCCCAGGCACCCTTTAGGGAGGGGGCGGGGCAGACTGAAGCTCTTCCTCACTCCGGGAGGCATAAGGATCTTGCACAAAATGAACCCATCTACACTGTTCGTTCTTGCGCAAAAACCTCTTGCGCAAAAACGGATCGGACAAGATTGTGCAAACGAAGTGCAAGAAAATGCTAATCTGTGCTTCATTTGCATTGCCTCCTCCGACAAAAGTCATAGTGTAGACATAGCCCCAATTTGTACGGGGAACATTGCTGGCTGTTGCCTTTCATCTGGAAGCAAGGAGAAAGTGCACATTTTGCTGCATGCCTCACTTTGGGTGGGGAGTGCAGAGGGCAGACAAGCTGTAAACCTTGCTCTTATTCCCTGACAGGGACAGGAAGGGGAAGAGCAAAGAGTCCTGGTACATATCTTGGGGGTGAAGGGCCCACCCCTCTACACACATACCCACACACACACATATCCCCTGCCCAGAGCACCTTCTCAATCCCAACCCTGACTCTTTCACCCCCTATGCCGCCAAACCTCTACCCTGAGCCTCTCCTTAAGGACCCAAGCAACTCCAGGTAAACATGCTAGTATATATATTAAATCTAAAAACGGTTAGCATTAATGTCTGAGTAGCACATATGCCTCAGTAATTTTTTGATGGAACAATGTGAAGAGATTTGTATTTAACAACATGAATGCTAGATTTTTGCCTCATTTTCAGTACTCAGATACATACTTTGTGCCAATGGGATTCAATTTTTCTGTCAGTTGGAAACAATTTGTCTTCTGTGCAGCACATTGGTTCTAGATCTGAACATCCAAGCTGATATACAGTCTACTGCACGATTTACAGTTAATCTGAAAATCACCCAATTATCTACACACCATTGCCAGAACAGTTGATAAGGCTGCATTAGTAGGTACACCAGTAACACTGGGAATAAAATTTGTGAAAAACAAGATATAAACCTAAGGCATTTCAGTAGGAACAGGGATCATGTATGTGAGGCTAGAGTTCAACCCTATTCAGAAGCATAACAATGTATTAAATTAGAATGGACAAAAACAAATGAAGATGAACATATTAAATAGGGGAGGAGTTGAAGGTAGTGTCAACCAAAAATCTAAGGGTATGTCTACACTAGCCCCCTAGTTCGAACTAGGGAGGCTAATGTAGGCATTCGAACTTGCAAATAAAGCCCGGGATTTAAATATCCCGGGCTTTATTTGCATGTTCCCGTCTGGCCGCCATTTTTAAATGCCAATAGTCCAGACTAACTGCCTGCATCTACACGTGGCAGTTAAATGGTAATTCAAACTAAATCCTTAGTTCCAATTACCTGTTACTCCTCCTGGAATGAGGAGTTAGTCCCGGGCAGTTAGTCTGGACTAGTGAGATTTAAAAATGGCAGCTGGACGGGAACATGCAAATAAAGCCCGGAATATTTAAATCCCGGGCTTCATTTGCAAGTTTGAATGCCTACATTAGCCTCCCTAGTTCGAATTAGGGGACTAGTGTAGACATACCCTAAATGATTAATTTAAGATTGAGAATGTAGGACTAAAGCAAATTTCTCTGTACCTGCCTCTACTAAACTTGTCTGATGTGTGTCTACTTTGCTCATTGTCTTATCTAGTGTGTTTAAATGAATGAATAAATGTATTCCTTTTTTTAACAATTTGATATTAGCTTACCTTCTGGTTTATTAAAGAACTTGTTTACTGAGCAATTTCCTAAATTGTTTCTTCTGAGCCTTGGATTATGAGTGCCACATCCACATATATCTGCTGTATGCCTGCCATTTCAGAAGTGTAGGGGCTATTGGTGTAAAGAGCTCTATACAGCTCCAGAGGGTAATTATCATTCTTCTGAAATGCAGACCAAGTGCTATAACTCTCAGACAAGTCAGGTTAAGATAAGAATTTTAAAAAATATTTTTTTAAATAATTTAAGAATGTCTCAAATAAGGAGGCTCTACAGAAGGAGGTCTCTGGAGGCCACACAAATTGTTAGGTATGTTGATGTGATGGGCTTAGTCCCATGCCAGCCATTTATACATCTGATTCTTTTCCCAGAGATTCAGGAAGACAGAAGACCCATCATCGACTCACAGACCATATTAAACATACGGGTATGTATCATATTTTGCCACAATTCAATCATCACATAACTTACTCTGAATCTTTGATGGTAGAAGATTCCAAAGAATCCTTCAGAACTTTGTAAACTCCTCTCCATTTTCTCACTTCATGGGGCTGTCCTCTGTCTTCATATTGTACCACTACCACCAACACTGAAAAGAAGTTATTTATCAATTCTAATTTTAAAAGCAAGAACTGTAAGGATCACAAAAAGAAATGCAATGGTTTTATTCCAAGTATGGAGCACATTTTAGAAATGGTTTCTTTGCATTTTCCTTTGATGGACTGACCATCATCCTTTACCATCTGAATTTTCTCATTTGTGATAATGACCTCTGTATAACATGTGAGAAGATTTAGATCAAGTGCAATAAAAATCTTAGGTTAAACTTTGACCGTCTTCTGGGATCCTTCATGATGTGCTGTTCTACTAGATGCACAACAGTTTTTACAGGAAAAGCAGGCTTCTTTTTATGGAATTTTCTCTCTTCCCCAATTCAGGAAAATGAATGAAAAAGCCAATTGATTACTTTTGCTTTACAGCAAAATATTTTGTGCAATTGTACTGGTTTTGTTGTAACTGGAAAGAATAAAATTAGAGTAGCCTTTGTTCATTCCATGATCCAATACATATAGCTCATACAATGAACAGTAGTGGGTCAAATAGTGATGACTAATAAGACTAATAAGACTTATTCTATGTTGGAGCTATGAAATCCTTTATCAGTACTTCAACCATTCTGCTTATGTGGCCTCATTGTTAAGATTATGCCTTTCATCTATGGGAACTAATCCCTTACATATACAATTTTAGCAAGAAGCTTATAAAATGTGTATTAAAGCAGTATTGACTTGTCTAACAATAAAAAGTACAATTAGGCTTCCAACACACAGCATTACTAATTTGCATAAAAACCTCTCTAACCTATTCCTTTTACTGAAGAATATAACCACAAGGTTACATTCTGTACCATGCACCAGTAATTTACTGTAAAATCAGTAGATAGCAGTACCTATGTAATAGTGTTCACTTTTCTTTGCGCAAATCTTTTAAAAGTGAATTTACATGCTGCATATATCAATAAGAAATAATACTAAAGATCATTATACTGAATGGCCAAACACAATGGATTCCTTTGATAATGTCACATAATGCAATAATTCAAGCCTGTTACTTATCCAGAGTCACTGTCCTGATGGAATCACCCTTAAGGTCAGACTGTAGATACCGTTTTATCACACCTTCCAGTTGTGGTGACTCATTTTCATAATGTACTATTTAAGCAAGAAGCTTATAAAAAACCACAGAAGAGTAATAATGACCAGTCTGTGCATAAAAATGTATAAATAGTTAGGGATCCGACACTGAGCATTTCCATCTAAGAAGATTACTAAATATCCCCTCTCCAACATTCTTCATTTCCATAACCAAAAAGGTGACATTGTCTATTCACTCTCCATGTACTATGCCTGTTTGTAATATTATAGTAATTCTTTTTCTTTGTGTACTACAGCAAATAGTAAATTAGGCTTGTAAAATATATAACCAATTCTAAGTAAGAGTAATAGGTGATTTATACTGGTTGTAAGTTAGAATTCTCCAAATAGGAACCAAAAGAACAGGCTGCTTGCTCCCAACCGCTTTTCCTTTACTGACAAATAGCATAAAAATGCTTCATGCCCACAGATGATTAGCCTTCTACTAACTTATTTAATAAAGAACAGTATTTCTTTACCAAGGTAACACAGAATGACATTGCCTCAGGTCATGGCAGGGCATGTCACATCATGTAACACAACATAGCCTGATGTAACCTGATCCAACAGACCATGTGCCTGTTGCCTATTTGTAGAAACCACTTTTTTTCAGAAGAGAGGGCATGTCACCACGGATAACAAAATGTTAGCTCTCTCTCTGGGTCCCAGGGCTCCCTGTGTTCACAATTAGCTTGGATTTTAAGTCTGACTCACATATAAAGGGAATAATTTCCTTCCCAAATAAAGGGGGCTCTATTCAGCGGTGACCTGTTGTTAGTGGCATTGACATGAAAATTGCTATGCAAATAGTAACTAAATTTTATAAAACTGCCTTTAATCAACAAAAGTTTTGAACAATTGGACAATGGAAGCTATAACTATGTACAGGAAGGTGAAACCATCCAAATGCCAGCAAGGAAGCAGGGAAATGAGGTGAACTCATCAAGAGCTAGTAATCAGTAATTACTATAACTAGTTAGCCTGTCATTGCAATTGCTGGATATATTATGGAGACCTACACATCTCTTAAAATGCATATTTTAATGTCTGCTCTTTCCTAAACATTTCCTATTTGATTATTAAGTGATAGCACATTTTACAAGAATATTATAATCAAGGTACATTTTAAATTGCAGATTTGTTTATTCAATTTTTAAGCCAAGGAAATATCAGTCTATAATGGAAATTTACAACTGAGATGTTATCGATCAAATGATCACATGGACAGTGAGCTTTAAAAAATGTCTAAAATTAGCAGTCAGGACAAAGTGATTTAATTTAAAAATATAGGGGTCCATACGTTTAGCATTACTTTGAATCTATAATTTTCCTGAACTCATCAAAGGAATAAATATTGAGATCTAAGGAAAATATTTTTAGAAATCAATCAATTAAAAAATAAATTAGCATTCTTCCAAAAGAATCTAACAGTATATGAAAGGTTTGCTACATGAATTCGGTAAAGCAGTACAAATTTCTCTGAGATTTGCATGAAATGAAGTACAGATTGTTAAACAAACAACTTTGTGCAAATTATAGATCTGGTTTTGCAACTCTTACTCAAGTGAGTGGGCATTACATACAGAAGTAGTCTAACCTGCTTCCAGAACTCTTGTTATGTTATGTCCACAAGAAGTGAGTCAGCAGTATGTTCAAAGGAGAAAACAACTTTTAATAAAGCCATTAAGATATGAACATGCCTCAGCTGAGTAACTCCCTGACCTGACTGCTGTAATTCCTGGCCTTCAGAACTCCATCCCCTCTTCTTATCTCCTCATCATGTCTAAAATTACATTGAATCTTCTCAAGGCTGTGACGTTTCCTTTTTTTACATAATGCCTAGCACCCTGTTGGGAGCTTTACAAATAACAAAGGATACTACTAACTCACATGATAATGCAAACATAATACTCAGGTGAGGTAGATTTTCAGGATCAAGCTATACATTATTTTCCATGCTATACAACATACTACAAATACTTATTCCATTAAAAATGATAGGCTGATCTGACATGCCCATGCTCACATAGGCTGTGTCTAGACTGGCATGATTTTCCGCAAATACTTTTAACTGAAAAGTTTTCTGTTAAAAGCATTTGCGGAAAAGAGCGTCTAGATTGGCACAGACGCTTTTCCGCCAAAGCACTTTTTGCAGAAAAGTGTCCGTGCCAATCTAGACGCACTTTTCCACAAAAAAGCCCCGATCACCATTTTCGCAATTGGGGTTTTTTGCGCAAAACAAATCTGAGCTGTCTACACTGGCCCTTTTGCACAAAAGCTTTGTGCAACAGGGACTTTTGTCCGAACAGCAGCAATGTAGTATTTCCGCAAGAAGCACTGATTTCAGACAGTAGGAAGTCAGTGTTCTTGCAGAAATTCAAGCGGCCAGTGTAGACAACTGGCAAGTTTTTCCGCAAAAGCAGCTGATTTTGCAGAAAAACTTGCCAGTCTAGACACAGCCGTAGTGTTTCCTTACATGAGATGTCGCCATATAGATAATGAGACCATCTGAGTGAGAACCACATCATATGAATGGGAATTCCCAAGGGCAGGCCAATTATGGGCACTATTAGGCAGTTGAACACCTAAACTATGTTATTTGCACCTGCACTTAACTACTTGGGCCACCAATGAATAGATACTAATAGGTGCAAAATTAGAGGTTTTAAAAAAATATTTCAAGCTATTTTTATGCATAGTTAAAGCCCAATACAAGTTCAAAATGTATTGAACAGAAATGATCTCAACTGAAAAAGGTGAACCAGAATGCCACTGATCTTTGAAACAAACCAAAACTGAATCTGAACATGACTTCACAACATTGATATCCACCATCAGTTCTAATGAAGTATCGGTTTAGATCTGAACTTTCCTTCCTGGGTCTCTCACCTTTATCAGTTATGAAATGTTATGAATACTACAACAATATACAAAAGGAGAACTAGAATAAGCATTGACATGGCAGAAGAAAAACAAACAAACAAGAAGGGATTTTTTCTCCTACAAAGTGCTATTTTTCTATTTCCCAGCAATCTGATCCTAACTTACATGCATGATTCAAAACAAGTGTGTGAAGATTTGCACAGACATGTGCTAACAAGATTTAGTTTGATTTACACGAGGGAATCAGCAATGAGACTAAAACCTCTTTTTTGTTTATGGAAAGAATGATAAACATGTGGCCAACACCTGGCTTTTGTAAGGATTCTGATTCCTCGCTCAATAAAGCTACAACAGCCACCTTCTTAGGCATTCAAACAATAGAAACAAAATCACAGCACAGGAGAAAGCTCCCACATGTATTTTTCTTCACCTCTTTGATTGATTTAAGAAAAAAGAGTCAACTTTATAAAATGTGTTTTGATGGATGGAAACACTTGTATGCACAGCATATGTTTTTTCTCAGATACATTTTACACTTTAAAAATGTCATACTGCTGAATGCATTTCTGCACAACAATGCTTTGCAACTTGCATATACCTTAAGGTGATTGCAAGAGGCCACAGTAAGTAGACACTGAAAAGCAAATGCTCGTAGATTTCTGTGCTATTCTGCTGACACCTAAGGCTGAATGCAAACAGGTCCTTTAAGCATAAAATATGGTTATTTAGTACAAATAAATATAGGAAACAGAGCCTGTGCTAATTTAGGACTATGTATTAGCTAACCTTTACACTAGTGGTGGCCAACCTGAGATCTAGATAAAAAAAAAATCAGAAGTCTCTTTTTACATGGAATCTAGTAGTTTCCCCTTCCATTACTCCTCTTATCTCATCTATTAAAGTTATCTGCTTTGTGTCAGTTTCAGCTTAGCACATCTTGGCTTCAGTTTCACGTTTGACTACTAAGCTAAACAAAGGAGCGTATGATAGGGCCTATCCAGCTAGGAGGGCA